GAGTTTTCGAACTGTTGGGTTGACAGGAACTGGAGAGGAAACAGGAGCTCACCCTGTTAACACGAAGGCTGGACTCAAACTGCTGAAGCGTGGACCATTTCTGGCCAGCAACTTTCAGCGTCATTAAGCCGCTGCGCCACCGCGTCCCCCTTATTAGCAGTACCAAAAGAAAATAAGTTTCCACACACACAACACACAGTTTAAATATCCAAAAAACAAAACAAAAACAAAAACACAACTCTAAATAAACTAACTTCACTAAACTAAAGGACTGGGATTTAGCTTTGATAGTTTCAGTCTATAAGAAAAAGCATCTGGATTCTGTCTGCTTATCATTGGCCTATGGAATCCTCCTTTCTAGTGTTTTTCCCACAGGTGCAGGGTCTGGGTTTGTTTGTTTGTTTGTTTGTTTTTGGATCAACCGAATGTTGATCCATTGGTTGTGACAGGAATTGACTGACCAGCTGGTAACCTAAGCCTGATGTCATGGGCTGAGAGAGAGTAACTGGCCCAAAGTCCCCCAGCCGGCTTTCATGCCTGTGGCGGGACTAGAACTCACAGTCTCCTGGTTTCTAGCCTTAATCATTAGACCAAACTGGCTATGGATTTTTTTTTCTTCCTAGCGTTTTTCCTGTATGTGCGGGGTCTGCTGCCCCCAACCCCGCCCGGAATATGTTGTTCAAAATGCACAGAAATCAGCAACAGTCCTGCATTCTTTTTATTACAATAGAGGTACATTATTCATAACTGCTGCACTAGAAGTATTTTTGGCTAGAGTCTTGGCACAATTTTTACTTGGAATGCAATTTTTGCTTATAACTCTTAGGGTGCAAACTAAATTCTTAAGGGACTTATTTCAAGTTCCACAATGTGTTCCCAACATGGTCTTGCACCATTAGGCTGTAGGACCAAAACAAACTCATATTTGGACATGCATCCTCTCTTATTGGCTAAAGTTACCTTTTTTCACTGAGTTTGACACCCCTGTTTTTATAACTGATGACTCTATTTCATCTTGGGGCAGGATACTGCATGAGAAACTGAAATGCTATGTTTTCTCACCTGATGCAGTCATGATGATGGGTGTACAGGGGCAATCTTTAAACTGTATACTAAGGATTTGGAAACTAAATCAGGCCTGACTGTCAAAGATGCATTCACCACTTTTCAAGTCAGTCAGACATTTATGCCAAATAACAGTTACCAAATTCAGAAGAGTCCTAGCCCTATCAAAAAGTAATGCCCTTCCAACAGCTGTTTTTGAAGGAAATTACAGGGGGTCCATTTCAACTAAGACTTTGCCTCTGTGATGAAGGAGTTGCTGAAACATTAACCCATGTTTTGGTATACTG